CTACAGACAATAAGCAATGTTCCAATAAGCCCTGAGAAACAGCTAATTAATTTTCCAAGTGAGCGAACATTATTTTGTAGCCCTGTAGACCAAAAGAGGAATCTAAAGATAGTGAATAGAAATGTGTTCCTAATTTTCAAAAGAAGATTAAAAGGGTTCTTGGTCCTCATTGTTTAGCTACTTCAAATCCTTTCAAAATAATAGAACCTGAATTAACACACAAAAAATAAATTTTTACTGTTTTGGAAAATAAGGAAGCAATGAGTAGCTTTTGTTTATGAATAGTCAATTAGTCTGAATAAATTTGATGGTTTGTTGATGAAGTTATAAAATGAAGACAACCCAAAACACTCTAGATTCAATGCTTCGGTGATAATAAAGCCTCATGAGTCCTCCCCACAATATTAATTTAAGAGGGCTTAGGTAACGAAAGTCACCTGAGACTTTGCAACTAAAGGAAAAACAGAGATAGGTCATTCAAGGAAAAGGTATAAGGTGATAAAAACTATAGGAATTGGAGGATGGACCGAGTAAATCCCAATAATTTAGAAGGAGTGGGTGTACAGTAAGGAATGAATTAAAAACTTCCAAATACCTGAATCTTGAGTTACTGCAAATATGAGAGTGTAGATAAATACCACTGGGAAATTACGTGAGATCTTGGCAAATAAAAATCATCTGGGGAAAATTTTTTAAAAACTTGATCAACATTGAATCCAAAATTTGGTAGAAACCTGTACAGTGGTAACAATACTTCAGAAAGCCTGAGTATGGGCTGGGGTGGAAAGAACAGGGAGGGCAGGGTCATTAGGAGGAATCTACTTGAAGGGGTTGGTAATACAGTATGATCGTAAAGAATTGTGGCACCCGGGGTGCCTGGGTGGCTCAGTCGGTTGGGCGTCCGACTTCAGCTCAGGTCACGATCTCGCGGTCTGTGAGTTCGAGCCCCGCGTCGGGCTCTGGGCTGATGGCTCAGAGCCTGGAGCCTGCTTCTGATTCTGTGTCTCCCTCTCTCTCTGCGCCTCCCCTGTTCATGCTCTCTCTCTGTCTCAAAAATAAATAAATGTAAAAAAAAAAAAAAGAAGAAGAATTGTGGCACCTAGTGAAATTAATTTTACTGCACTTAAAATACTCAGAATGAATGAAACAGTAATGACAAAACTCAACTGATATGTAAGATGGCTGAATTTTATATTGCACCTTCTGTTGTACGTGTCTATTCCCCTTCAGATTACACCCCACCCAACTGAAATCAACAGAAACTTAAGATCTTTTCCCTAATGGACTAAAGAATATTCAAAGATCCAGCAGCCCCCCTAGAGCTGCTTCTAATTTTCCCTTTCCTCCCCAGTGATAGGTTTTCCTTGACCTGAAGCTCCCTGTGCCCAAAGTTCTCCTTAGAAGTATATCTGAATGGAAGGGTCCTAATCATACCCCAGGTGGTTTGGGTTGTTTTAATACACATAGGTCTGTTGATTTATAGTTATGAATCCATATAATGGGAATATTCTGGTGTTTGTAGGACAATGTCTTCAAAGAGACTCTGTGGGTTATGTTGCACATTTGAACTGGAACCAAACTTATGTTTTTTTCTACAGATACAACAGTATCTTAAATAGTAAGAACCTCAACGTATTGATGGTTTTCTTGTCTGGTACTGAGTGTCAGCCAGTTTGTGTTAGTTATTCTTTCCTCAAATCCACAAAATTGGCAAATAAGAGACTATTGGTGTGGGGGGGGCAGGGGATATAAAAATAAATAAGCCCATTGACCACCACCATGTAATAAAAAAGTATGACTGTCCTTAACATTTCTCAAGCTATTGATGATTCTTTCTATATCATAGTCTACTTTGGCAACTCTTTGAAATTACAAGTTGGCTTTTGGACCTGCAGGGTCTCTAATCCAACCATCTCCTTTTACAGATAAGGAGATAAAGGCTTTGAAGGATACAGTGGTTTAGCCCAAGTGGCATCGTCAGTAACCGCAGAGCCGGCGGGAGAGTTCCTGTCCACTGGATTCCATTTTAGTCCTTGAAACATTCTGCTACCGTTTCTCTCTTTTGTTCACCATTTTGCTCCAAAGTTACTGTTGGTATTCAAACAAAGAAAACAAAACAAAACAAAGGAGCCTAGGAAGAATTACCTTAAAAAAGCTAGGTGTGTATGCACATGGATGTGTATTTGTATTTCAAATAACAATTCAATGTATCAATATATTTCCTCCACTTGCATATGACATTATTATGCATTTAAAATTGAGCATTTACATCACAAAAAGATTCCCATTTTCATTTGATATGCTGTTCTGGCAATATTTTGATGAACTGTATTCTATGTAAAACACTAAAAATGTCCTATTTTAATCAACCATCCGGGTTTTATTTAGCCTGTACCCAATTTTGCATGGTTTTAATTATTGAAAATTCAAATACATAAGATTCAACACTTACTAGCATTTCATCTTTGGAATTTATTTAGGAAATGGAGTATTGCTTTGTGGTTTCAGAAAAAATTAATAAATATCTCTGAATAGATGGTAATTTCATGTTCATTTCCAGAGAGATTTAGCTACATTACAGCGCTATTTCCCAACACCCATAATCTTCTAAATTGACTTATTTGATGCTCTTCGGATCTATTTTTTTAAGACTTAGATTTTTATCTCTGTTGCTGCTTTTGAAATGATCTCCATGATTGTGAATCCATCTAATGTAATTTTCACATTTGGTGCCATTTTTCTCAAATGACAATACAGGGCAGAAGAATCATTTGGCATTTTTTCATACCAGCCTAGTACTTTGATTCAAAATATGGGCAAAATATAAGGAAAAGAGAGAAAGAGTTGAAGGTCTCTTAGTAAGAACACCTTGTGTTAAAATCAAACAGATGGACTATGAGAGGTAAGCTGTGGAGTAGGATAGGGGGATTAAAAAAAAAATCTCAGCAGAAATGAGCCTCTGAGCAGTAAAGAACTGAGGAATCCAGAGCAGCTCTCTTCCCTTTTATTAATACCTTCCCAGAAAACTTGTCTCCACTTTGGACCCTTTTATCTTTAGTCTGTGTGCTAGCACCTTCTCAGCATTTCTTAAAGGAGTTCAAGTACTCAGTGTTTCTTAAAGGAGTTCAAGTACTACCACTACTAATCCTAATATTAATTACATACCGATTTCTTTAATGCTTTAATCAAAATTTTCAATAACATCTGTGTTTTTATTTGGCTAGTTTGGAAAAGGCTCTGAGGGAGCCAACTATGTCAAGAAAAGGGTTCTGCTCTGAAGACAGTGTGTCCCATGGCATTGTGTGTATTCTTTTCTAACAATAATGTTTTCTTGTGCAGAGTCCGACTTCATGATAAAATGAAAAGGGGGGAAGTCTGTTAAAAATAAAACGCTCGTGTGTGTGTGTGTGTGTGTGTGTGTGTGTGTGTAAAATGTGTCAACATTATTCTCTCTCTCTCTCTCTCTCTCTCTCTCTCTCACTGTATTGCATACACTTAATTAAGCCTCTAGGACAAAGGTCTCACCTCTTATTCAAGTGAAGCAGAATTTTGAACTTTGGAGCTAAATGATAATGGGGATCAGTGTACGCATTCTATAATTCAACAATATTTGGGGTACTTTAAAACAATCGCCCTGATTTCGAGGCAGACATTTCGCCCCTGCTTCCTCTCACTGGGACAGGAAGAAGTCAGTGTAAGCCATTTGTAGTCTGGGAGTGCACATTTCTTAACTGGATAATTTCGTTGACCCGGTGTCACTTGGCCTGAATTCGCCTCAGTTTAGAATGCCCAACTGGCGTCTTGGCCCAGCGCCTAGGATTGGTGGCTATACCTTCCCAAACGCACACTCTCGCCGTCCTTGTGCAACCGAACGTCTGTCCCCAAGTCTGAGAATGTACCTCCAGGCATGTCAGTCCTGGCCGCGCCTCTCTAGAAGGCGGTCTCTGCGGAGCAACCCTGACTCTCGAAGGAGTCTCATCTAATCACAGATGCTGGTGGGAGTGAGCTTGATCTGCTAGGCTTCCCAGCTGCTTAGTTCCAGACAAGTCCAGAGCCTACAAAAATATAAATAAATAAATACTCGTCCCCATGAGTCACCCCAAGAAGGCTGCTTTCCCCAACCTTCCCCGTGCGGGGAAAGGGAGTAACCCTCCCCGGGATTTGTCCAAAGTGGTGAGAGGAGGGTTAATATTTGCTTTGTTGTTGAGCGCGAGAGAGGCAAGTGTGCCTTGAGAGAGAGAGAAAAAAAGAGTTATTTTGCAGCGGAAAATAAGCAGGGGAGAGGAATAGGGAGAGGCCGGTGCCCCAGCTCCCCTCGGAGCCTCAGGGAGCGGCACACGCCGTAATTCTCTTTCCAGAGCCTTACAGATTTCCACAAACAATGACATCACTCCGGCGCCGCCGACCAGATTACAGCTGGGGGGATTTTCCTGGGAGCTAGGCGGGCCCGGGTGGAGAGATGGAGGAGCTCTCCAGGGTTCTGAAAGGGGCGGGGGCGCGGGCTCGCCGCTCAGCGCCCCCCGCCGGCGGAGGCGGACCGGCCGGTCTGGGGGCGGGCAGGGGTGGGCCCGGGGCGGTCCAGGGCGGGGCCCGTCGCATCTCCGGCCCTCATTGGCTGCTGGCGAGCGCACGTCAGCCAGGCTGGTGCTCTCCTCTGTCCCCAGTGGAATTGGAGCCGAGGAGGAGCTGAAAATGCAGATTTAGCCTCAAGCACAGACATACACTCGCTCTTTCTCTCAGATACACACAGCTCCCCACATTCGCACCTCTGCCAGCGAGCCTGACTACACGGCTTCCCCGCCAGCCAGATGCTGGAGGAGAATACACATTGATTTGCTGCTTTCTGAGCCCCCTAATCAGTCTCTTTCTCTACACAGAGATTTTTTTTTAAACAAACAAAAAAAACTATATATATACATTTTTCATTTGCACCTTTCCTCCGAGTCCTCCGCTCCACCAGCCTGCGCGCCTCCTAGCACCACTTTTCACTCCCAAGAAAGATGAAAGGTGGCTGTGTCTCCCAGTGGAAGGCGGCCGCCGGGCTCCTCTTCTGTGTCATGGTTTTTGCATCTGCCGAGAGACCGGTCTTCACGAATCATTTTCTTGTGGAGTTGCATAAAGGAGGAGAGGAAGAAGCTCGCCAAGTTGCAGCAGAACACGGCTTTGGAGTCCGAAAGGTAAAATCTCCCTTGCATTTCGCATGTTGTTTCAAAACGGGGGCAGCCCTGCGCAATCTCATTGCAGATTTGCAAGTTTTCTTTCTCATGCGATGCAGATATTCTGCCATGGGCTCTTTAACACGACATTGCCTCCGGTGATCTTTCACGGGTTATGTAATTAAAATGTCCTTCAAATTATACTAGTAAGGTCATAAAAATAATTTATTGCTCTTTGACTTGGTGGCGAAAACAAGGTAACACCTTTCTGACAATGCCTTGCGCCCGGGCTGCTGTCCGAGGTACCAAGTTCTCAAGGCTGGGTGGGGATGGGGGAATGAAGTGCTGAACATCTGGGCTTGACGTTGGCAGTCTTTGCCAGGGATGTATCCCCCGCCCCCATCCCCTGGAGAAAGAGTAGTTTCCAAGGGACAAGGCTAAAAGCTTGGATATTGCAATTCACCTCCGTGCTTTTCGGACCCCGCGCTAGGAGGACTTCCCTCCCGGTGACCGGCCCCGTTCCTTAACAGCTCTCTGGCTCCAGGAGACTTGGAGACATGAACTGGGGTTTCTTTCCAAAATCCGGGTGGAACTTCTCGCCCTCGCCCCTGCCCACGAGCGCCCGCCCCCGAAGCGTACTCCTAGTTAGCTCTGATTCTCAACTCACAGCTGTAGAAGCTGGAAAGGTAGATTTTAGAGGAGTTCCCTATGGAGAAGTTGGGGTGTCTCTCCTGGTGTGTGGGCGGCCACCCTGGCTTTCTCACGAGGGCGCGGGGATCCCCATTCCAAGAAGTTGCCAGAGTTCAACTGTTCGGGCAGCTGCCTAAGGCTCCCAACCTAAGACGCCTTGGGACTCCTTTTGTGACTCCAGAGTATCCATCTGGGACGCAGCGGAAAGGAGAGTGCTGGGTGGGGGCCGTGGCTTACCTGCTTGTCCTTCTTACGAAATATCTTTTCAGAAATCGCAAGTGTCCTTAGGAGACCTGGCGAGAGGTGGGGTAGAGTGAGAGGATGCACGGAGAAACCGGGCAAGGGGAGCGTGGAGGACGTAGGAATGCGATTTGGCAACCAGAAGGCTGGGTGGAGGTCTGGGTGGAGGCTGGGTGGAGGTGTGGGATTCGGGGCCCTATCTTCTCCCTCCCGATCCCAGGAGAGGGGCGGGAAACGAGCGGTGGGTGCTTTCTTTTGTTGTTTTTGCCTCTCAAGGGCAGTGCGAACTAGGTTTCCTATCAGTCCCTCTGTCCGGACTTCCCATGCCTCCCGTCTTCCTCCCGGACGCGGCTCCCTCATGAGCAGCTGGCTCTCCCTCCCCGGTAGGGTGTTGGCAGCAGCGATTTCGACCCTCGGTGGGTTTCCCCGCCAGTCATACTAGTCTAGGAGGAGAAGCCCGCCGGGTCTACCAGTGGCGCGCGGGCGGGTCTTTGCAGAAGGGAACTTGTTGCTCCCGGGAAGCGTGGGTGGAGCAGGGAGAGAGGATGCGAGCTGAGGGAGCAGCCCGCTGTCGTTCTGGCCCAGGGTCTGGGGCTGTTTCAAGAGTTTGTGTTTATTTCAACACAGGAAACAAGCAGACCCCCCTTCCTTCCCAACCCACCTCCCTAACTTGTTAGGAGACAAGACTCAGGACCCAGGAGCCACAGATAGAACAGTGATTGTCACCGTGATTATTATTACCTGACTACAATGGGGCACCCTTGTGTGCTGGAGTCCTTACACATATTCTTATTTAATATTCTCAACAACTCCGAGGAAGCTGCTATTATTATTAAGCTCATGGTACCGATAAGGACATTGGCTCAGATCAGGGCCCAAGGTAAAAAACAACCAGATCTGTATTTAAACCCGGATCTTTCAGAAATAAACTCATGCTCTTTACCTCTTAGTACATGCCAAACAGGCTAAGTGCTCTGCAGGGTGTGTTGAGCTTTGAGGTGGGCTGAAAAGGGATATGGCATCAGGCTTTTTAGTTTCTGACTGCCAAGGGGCTGCAGCTGATTCGGGAATACCTGCTACTCTTTCCGTACCATGCACCTTTTCATAGTGTAGGCAGACTATTGCTACCTGCTCCTTACTTCCCCTTTAGACAATGCCCTTTAGGATCTTAGCAACTTAAGCAAACCCGGGCGTAACTAAGACAGATAATGGCTTGACTTATTAATTCTCCAAGGGGTCACTTTTGTTTTGTCTCGTTTTGTTTTGTAGAGGTAAACGGCTTAATGAGGGGATTTGTAGTTTTGACGGTGGAGTTTGAGAAAGGAGGTGTAGGGACAATGTCATCCTAAATATATCTGGAGAATCTGGATATGCGTACTGTGAACTCTCAGGGAACTCATACTCTGGGGTAAAATCAGATACCTAAGTCTCTCTCACCCCTACTCTTTATTTGAGAGGAGCCCACTGGCTTTGAGTCAGCCACAAACATGCAATTTCTATCTGGGAAAAATGAACTTTTGCCTTGCCACCTCTCCTCCCCTCTCTATAACCCCCTCTCAGAAACAGTATCACTTAACCAAATGATTTTTGTTCTGATATATAGTTAAGTTAAAAAAAAAAATCAGCCTATGGCAGAATGCTTCTGTCTGACAAATCTTTGCATGGTGCCACACCTGTGTAGAAGGAGCCCTCTTTTCTTTCCTTGAATTCATGTCCCACCCTTCTTCCTTCACGACTGCGCTCCAAACCTTCCTTGATGCTATGGACCACCATGTGCTTTCTCTTCTCCAAATTCCCACGGGATGAAAAAGCAAAGCCTACATGACATAAGCTAGTACATCCCAACACTCTTCCTCCAGTCATTTTATATATGTAAGTAAATGTGGGTGTAAGTATTGTCTTTCCACTTAAAAGGTAAACATTCAAGGACCATATCCTCCATGCTTACCTCTAGTCCTCACCATGGCCAGCCTAGTACTGGGTTTGCCAGCCTGTAAGGAAACTTCCTTAGTTTTATCTGTTCCTCCAGGTTTCTTACACACTGTCCTGTCTTGTTCTCATCACATACTGCACTTTTGTCACTCTTTTTTTTTTTTTCATTTTAAACCTACAATACCTCCTTCTCCTTCCTCTCTCTAATACTTAGTGTATCTTCCAATTCCCTACCGCCCCATCCTCTCCAATGCTCAGGGTCAGACACCAAGGATCCTCGGTGATTACTTATTCATCCCAAAGAAGGGTCAGCTATACAGACTAGGGGAACCTGCTATTTTACTAAGTTATCCCATCTAAACTCACAAGCCTGTGAGGTAGAAATTGTTGCCATCAGACCTAATTCTCAGATGAAAAACTTAAAGCCCCAACCAGTTAAACTTATATCTGGAGAGTGAAAAGAACTCAGATTTAAAACCAAATTTGCTTTGTGGAAAATAACTTTGTTTTCCTACCGAACTGCCTCCGGGAAACCTTCCCGGACAGCCAAGAACTCTGCTCTCTGGGCACCATTTTAGAGTTCTGATGTTTTCCCTTTCCTTTCTTTCTTTTTAATTTTTTCTATATCCAACACCTATTTGGTATTAACGTATAAACCTATGTCATTAACAAATGTGTATGAGTATGTACTTCAGGTAGATCATAAATCTTTTAAGAGTAGAAACAATACACTTCTTAACGCCATAGGGCTTTAGCACAGTGGTCTATATATGAGATATTAAATGAATACCTGGTGATTTTTTTTTACCAAACTCTTGCAAGGCCATGACCAAACAAATGTATTTCCTCCCCGAAATGGAACAAAAATACCTGTAACTTTACTGTCAGAAAGGTGTGTTGAGACTAAAGTTTTCTATTTTATCGTGACCTGGCTAAAAGACATCTGTTCATCAAAAAAGATGTATAGACATATGTATATGTCTAGGAGAGTAAGTGAGTTTACAATAACATCAGAGGTGTTTTTCTGAGTGCCTTAAAATTCTTTTTTTTTTAATTTTTAATGTTTATTTATTATTGAGAGACAGAGAGAGACAGAGCACGAGACGGGGAGGGGCAGAGAGAGAGGAGACACAGAATGTGAAGCAGGCTCCAGGCTCTGAGCTGTCAGCCCAGAGCCTGACACAGGGCTCGAACTCACAAACTGTGAGATCATGACCTGAGCCAAAGTCGGATGCTTAACCGACTGAGCCACCCGAGCACCCCTTAAAATTCTTAATATACTACTAATTTTAAATCTCTTGGAAAAAGAACAAAAAAATATTTATTAAAACAGTATATTGAAGGTTAGCCAAAAATCAAGTAAGAATTAAGGTAGAAATCCAAACAATTGACAATGAAGTGTTTTTGTTTTGCTACAGTAGGTTTTGGTTTTTGTTCAGGTAGGACTGAGGCTAGGATAATTACACAAGTAAAATCATGTGACCACTTTTATATGTGTGCTCACTGCATTTGAAAAACTCTAGCAATAATCGTGCTGGTATACAATGAAAGAATAAACTTCTTTTCATTTTAACTGACTTTTAATTTTAACTTTAATTGAATTGAATCCTTTAATTGAATTTAATGTTAAAATCAAATTTCTTTTAATTTTATTGAAGTATAACTTAGGAAAGAACACAGTTCATAAACTGTCACAAACTGAGCACACTTATGTAATGAGCATCCAAATCAAGAAATAAAGTATTATCCATACCCCATAAGTTCCCCCTCTTGCTCATTTAGGTAGTTTTTAGTTTTAGGCTCTTATGATAATTGCTTCTGTGGAATTTGTAATGTATGTATTCCCAGCATATATGTCTCTCTGTTGGGAATATCCCTAGGATTAGAATTGTTGAGTAAAAGGGCATATATACATTCAACTTTAGGAGACCGTATCAGTTTTCCATTGTGTGACAAATACTACAGACTTTGTGTCCTAAAACCACACAAATTCATTATTTCATAGTTTTCATGGATAAGGAGTCTGGCACATTTTAGATGGGTCTTCTGCTCATGGGCTTACAGGTAGAAATTAAGATAGTGGCCAGCTATGTCCTCATCTACAGGCACAACTAAGGGGAAGTCCACTTCCAAGCATATTCAGGTGTTTAGGATTCAGC